ATTTGTGACCTTGTTCATGGATGCAAACGCATGGGAGATCCAACAACCGAATCTACAAGTGCCTTGGGGAGGCATTCTTAAACTGAGCTTCTTATCTGCTTTCTAATAAAAGACTTGCTCAATTTTCCTATTAAGGTTTAATGGGCTGTTATTGGCACATTCAAAATAGGGCAACTTTTTTTCCAGTAAGCATTGTTTCCATGCAAACAGCAGTAGAAAACCCAGTTTGAGTGAGATTTCATAGCTTTTACACTTGCAATTTGAAACATGGATTTAAAAACATACCTAATGAGTTAATAGTTGTTATAATAATTTAAAGCATCAGATCCCAATATATATACTTCTTATGTGATCTTTTATTCTGTTTTGAAAACACGTATACACATACAGTTGAACATACATGTGCATATATGTATACTTTCTTAGATTTTTAATGAAGCATGATGAAAAGTGAATATGAAAATTAAAGCTCTCACTGATCAGTGTCACTTAGCTTTAGTCTTTTTCTTAAAAAATCATGATGCATCCTTGAAGCACAAAGGGAGACTCTGGAAAGCAGAGTGACTTGGCTTGCTCAAGTAGAGAACTATAATTTACAGTTTTTCATTTCCGTTCTTTTCTTTGTAGATATATCTTTCCAAAGTTATAAAGTCAATTTGATTTCTCCTGAATAATCCTGTCATATCCCAAGGTGATGAAAGAAGAGTCGCGGCCCTAGCTGCTTTCCTGTGTTCGAGTGGGTTGGAGGAGTCAGGTTTATTCTTCTTGTTGTTGATATAAAAGGTGGGATCAGAGCTGCTTTAGTCATTCCTCTGCCATTCTCTTTGGGAGTGCAGAATATATGTTCCTTTGTACAATCTGCTTCTAAATCGAACACAGAATCTGAGGAAGAGTTTTGTATTTCTCTCAATATATTTTGTGAAGGAAATATTAAATATGCTCTTTAAAGTTTTAGAAGTCATGCTTAATTTAAAATGTAGTACATAAATGTCAATTTTAGTTAAAAAAAACTTAATTTGTTGACAGAGTTTATATACCTCACAAATCTTGCTACTCTATATTTGAAAAGTATTGTGAATATTTAATGAAATCTTACAGCATCTGTGGGAAATGAACTTTGTTAAAATAGAATTATACCTGCTTTAAATTTTAAAACAGAAGTTTAGAGTCAAAAGTGACTTTTGTAAGGTTACACAGAGATTAACATTAATAAAACTAAGAAAAAATTTCTAAATTTATATTTAAATTTTCTTATTGAACAGTACTCTTCCATATTGGAAAGTAGTTTTCTTGTGAAAATAAAGGAAAAATAAGAAGTTGGGGCCGGAGACATGGCTCAGTGTTTAAGAGCACTGGCTGCTTCTGCAGAGAGCCTGGCTTGATTCCCAGCACCCATACGACTGCTAACAACCACCCATAATGCCAGTTCCAGGGGAATCCGAAGCCCTCTTCTGACCTCCGTAGGCATTGCACAACACAGGTATACTTACATACATGCAGGCAGTATACTCATACACATAAAATAAAATAATACATAAAATATTAAAAAAATCAAAGTCCATTTGCTTCCAACTTTTATCTAAATGAGGAGGCTTCCCAGAATGCAGCTCTGCCTGTTTCCCTGGAGTCAGGCATGTTCTTCTTCCACTCTTCTCTCTGGTCAGTTGTTCAAATTATGCAAAACCACAGTATTTGTGGTCTATTCTCCTAAGATGTTTTTGCTTCTGTTTATGAGCTAACAGTTTTGTCTCAGAATAAGCTATGTGGGCACATGAAACTGGATTTATGAGCATGATCAATCAATGTAAGCCTCTTTTGATATTTTTGATATTCTTCGATGTTATTGGTTTGAGTGTTCCGGGAAATTTCCTAATTTGGAACCTAGAATTAAAACCTCTTGCCTGCTCCCCTGGCACAGAAAAAACATAATGCACCCTGGTTCAACCAAGACAGACCTTTGGGGATTACCTCTGATTTGTTCTGTGTTTCTGCTCATTGCACACACCTGTGCACACTCCATTTTGTGGACCTTCTAGAGATAGTATGTCTTGTGGAATGTGCTCAGGTCCAGCAATAATAAAGTTCTTTGAGCAAACAGATCTTTTACTGACCAATTTCTTTACTTGTTTTCTTACTTCCTGGTTCTCTCTATTACTATATCACACCCCTGCTTCTGTCACCATTGTTTATCAAATTGTGACACAACTTGACATCACAAACTCCCATTAACTATGCTCCCATTTCAATTAACAACTCAGGTAAATTTCCTTCTGCCATATTATATTTACCTTTAACACAAATTGGGTCATTATGTATCAAAAATTCTGAACATTCAACCCATAGTTCAAGGTTCTATACCACTGGGTATCCAAAGGCATCTTGGGTATCAATACTGGGTGCCCCATAATCAGAAAACACTTACCTATCCAGAACATAAACTCATCATCTCTAACCCAAAACCTGTCTTTATTTCATTTATGTATAATAAAGATCATCCCAATTTACTAGGTTTGCACAAACTTGAAAGTATCACTGTCTTCAAACCAGAACGTCTCATCACGTCTGAAGTCCCATTTCTTGAATCCAACCACTGTTGTCTTCCTGATTCTGGCTCACCAATATCTCTTGTTTGAATAATTCTATCATTTCTCACAATAAAATGAAAGTGACAAAAGCAATCATTTTTTAAAAGTCTTTAGAGAAAACTTAAATATATATTTATTTTATGTGTACGAGTGTATTGCCTGCATGTGGGTAGGTGCACCCATGTTGTACAATGCCACGGAGGTTAGAAGAGGGCATCATATTCCCTGGAACTGGAGTTATAGATGGTTGTTAGCTGCCATATGGGTGCTGGGAACCCAACTGTGGTCCTCTGCAAGAGCAGCCAATATGCTTAACTGCTGAACCATTTCTCCATATCCCTCCAGTGGAAGCTTTAGCAGTTAGGATGTAGTCTACATCCTTAACATAGCTCCTAAATTCCCTTTTCATTGAGTTAAACACAGTCCAGATGCTAGCAAGATTACTATCTATGATGAAAAATTATATTACCTAATAGTATCATTTTACCAGAAAATTATTTTTGTCATGACTTTAAATTGGTGAGAAATTTAAATTGTGGTATCAAGTAATATCCATTTGCCAAAACCTGTTACCTTATCATGGTTTTTACACATTTGTTTTCATATGTATCCAAGTAGATCCCATCCTTTCCTTGGTTTTCCCTTTGTTAGTTAGCTTTTATTTAGGCATTTGGTTTAGCTTAGGTATAATTCTTGTAGGATGTCTACATCATCCAATGGATTATCTGGGGGTTGTAACTATATGCATTTATACCATTCTGCTTTCTTTTTAACACATAATTATCATGTCTTCATTTACTACTAACTATATCCCCAAATAGACTCAGCTTTAATAGGTCAAGGGCTCTATCCCTCCTGTTCATACTTGTGTCTCCAGTTCTGGACATAATTCTTGGAATCATTTTATACTCAACTAATTTTTTTCAATGATTGATTATGGAAAGTACATCTTATGGTTATAAGCTTTTATGTCACATAGTTTCTTTACAGAAAAAAGATTCTTGTGCATTTTCTGATTTTTCAAATTATGTCACGATATATAGAAAAGTTATAAAAAATATACAGGATATGCTTTGCTTGAATTATTTGAGACCAAGTTGTCAAATCCATGCCTTATTACACCTGTCTTAGTTCTTTGGCACTTCTATAACAGAATTCCGTAGATTTGGCAGTATATAAGCAACAAAAATTTGTTTCCCATAGTTTGTGAGGTTGGGACATCCAAGATCAAGGTGCCAGCAGATTTGATGTCTGTTAAGGCCCCGTGCCTCATAGGTGACAACTTCTGCGTGTCTTCACATAGAAAAAGGCCAAAGGGAGTTCTTTAACTTTATTTTATAAGAACTCTAATCCCAGGTCTGGGAAAGTAGATAAAGGCAGAGCATTTATCTAACATGTGGGAGTCCCTGGGTTAGATACCCTAGCATGTAATAGTAATGTTATCAATAATAATAAAAATAAATAATTTTAAAAAGGAAGGAAAATAAGAACACTAATTCCATTAGTGAAGGTTTCATCCTCATGACCTAATAATCACTTCCTAAAGTTTTCCTGTCTTAATACTAACCTCTTGGGGAGTAAGTTTCAACATATGAATTTTGTGAGTACACAATTATTAGGCCATAATGACTTCTGCTTTCATATAGCATATATTTACTAAAGACATGGACATTCCTCTGCATCACCACAATGTAAACACCTAAACCTGGAAATGAACATTGAAATATTACTGCTCTCTAAACTTTCAGAGCACTTTCAAGTTTTAACAAATGTACTGATACATATCAGCTCATGCATGGAATAGTAGTGTTCATCACTAGAAGAGACCCAGATCTACCTTCTCAACACTAAGCCTCTGAGTTAACTGACCCTGGAGCTACCTTAGTTCATGGAACTTTTCTAATAGTCATAATACATTTCTACACTACTGAGATAATTTGAATTGGCTTATTTTTTAACTTGAAAATAAGAGAAATCTATTTGAAAATGATATTTATACACTTATTGGCCATTCAAGATTTTTGTAATATATATTCATTCAAAAGTTGCTATTCCAAAAATTTGTGAAGCATAGTTAATATTCATTTTATGTATTTCTCAGCAATAGACAGAGTTTGAGGCATAATAACTGTTTAACAAATATCATCTTATTAGCTATAGTATTTTTGAACCTTACTAGGATTATCTGTTTTGCCCTTTTATTGAAAATTAAATATTCTGCCCCGCATGGTGGTACACGCCCTTAATCCCAGCACTTGGGAGGGAGGCAGAGGCAGGCAGGTCTCTGTGACATCAAGGCCAGCTTGGTCTACAGAGCAAGTTCCAAGCTATCTGGAGCTACAAGGAGATTCTGTCTCAAAAACAAAATCATCAAAAAATGAATATTCCATATATTTCCATTACTAAACAATCAAAGTGAAAAGCCACTAATTATTTCTGCATTATTGGCAGAGGCATAGATAACTGGAGTTGCTAAAGTAATTGTGATTGTAGAAAAGTATGAGCATCCGAAGTGACTAAGGTGGTCCTTTCTGGTTGAGTACAGGACAAACACCAGTCACTATGGATATTATTGGCTATAAAGAGTTGTTCTTTGTTGGCCTCTTGTTTTGATCCTTGAATGAAACAGAAAATCATTTTTAATGAGAATTTAAAGATTTTTAACAACACTGATTTTGTAGTTTTGACCTTATCCTAACTTCATTACAGAAGTTAGGATTTGGGAAGGTTTCCTTAAGTCATATTCACATATGAATAATGCAAGAGGTTGGGTTACTCAATCTCCAGGTCATTTCAAAGGAATTACATGTATTTCCACACATGCAGTATCAGAAAAAGAACAATATCAGGCTTCTGCAGTGACTATAGGAATTCAACTCTTCAAAGAAGTGAAGCTCAAAGGATACCATAAGCACACAGAGACCTTATTTTCATACTGTGATGTGTGGTGCACATTATATACTAAAAGGATATTATGACTATCCCATGTCTGTATGTGGCCCTGGATTATTTCAGACTCACTGTACATCTTTGTTCTATATATTCTACTATATTATAATAAAATTATGCATACCACACCACTATACATGTTTACCATTTGTGAAGTCACTGTGATTCCTTAAGATATTCTTTTAAAAATTTTTTTTATTGAACTTCTTTGTTCTCATTCAAGAGTTCTCAATCAAATCCAGACCCTTTCTCCCATCCATGCCTCCCCCACCAGACCCCCTGCACTCTGCCACACATGGTAAGTTCTATCCAGTCAAGCATTTGCACCCAGATGTCCATCAGTGCAAATTCATCCACTGGAGTTCAGTCAGTCCATCCAGAGATCATGTGAAAGGCATATTCTCCTCCAACAAGCAGCAGTCAACCTCGAACAGCTCCCAGTCTAGAGCTGGCCCACCACCCATCTCTCTCCTCTCCTCTGGGTCCTTGTTTAATTGAGTTGGCACAGGTCCTGTGCTCAATGACACCATTGCCACAAGCTCACATATACCAGCTTCCAGTGGCCTGAAAGCCTTTGGTACTCTGTGTTCATGAACCAGCCCTGGCTCTTACAATCTTTCCACCCCCGTTCTGAAATAGTCCCTGAGCTGTGGGTGGGTGAGGTTCCATATAGGAGTCTATCTAGGGATACACACTTTGTAGTCTGTTATTCTTTAAAACTTGGGAAGTTGTGGCCTTTTGTGTGTATCACAGTCTTCTGTACAAGGAAACTTCACTGGTGAGAGTTGGGGATGCATTAATTTTCTCTCTACCCCTTGTTCTGCTATGTTCCATGTGCCTTAGTTGTAGAGGTTCAACTGTAGATATGTCACCTAGTACTGGACATCTCTCAGACATATATTTTCTGTGTTTGACCAGTCATGCAATTCTGAAGTAGACTCCATCTGTTTCAAAAAGAAACTCTTCGATGATTGGTGTATGGTATGGTTGTCTGTCTGTAATATGAGGATCAATATTTAGCATATAATAATTTTATTTGTCTAGAGATATGGAAGAGATAGGGTTTGCTCTTGGATCTACATCCTCTCCTGTCATGTGTACTTGACTGAGTTTACAGTGCTACCCATGAGTTCATTCCCACAGAGGGGCCTTAAAGTCCAATTAGTTAGCTGTTGATTGCTATCTAACGACAGTGCCATTACTGCACCAATAGAGGTAGTTTGACATGTCGGCCAGTTATTAGGCTTTAGGGCTGGGTTGGACCATCGATTGTTTTTCTCCCTTAGAGTTTGTGTATGATCAACTAACATTATGATAGCCAAACTTATTCAGTTAGAAGGCTTCCAGGTTAGTTTCTGCTTAGTTGCTTCAAATCCTGTATCTGAAGTATGTCCTGTCTTCAGCAGAAGGGTCCCATCTACTAGTCCTGGGAGACAACCAAGAGATTTGGCAATAGCCTACATTATCCTGGGAGTCTCCTGGATCACTCTCACCAACCACTCAAAGGGAGGTCTCCTTTATCTGCACTGTGCTCCCTGACAAGCAGCTCCCAGGTATACACACGCACCAATGTTCAGACACTATATGTACACCTCTCATGGAGTCCCGGGGCACCAAACCCCCTCTGGGTTTCCCAGACCCATCAAGACTCACCCATCTCCACTGTCCTTCCTCCCATTCTGTCCCCCTCTTCCCCCCCCCAGTCCTGGTACCCTCATTATCCCCACCCTCCTCTTCCCAGTACCTCCCAACATCCACCTCTTCTAATCCCCCCATGCACAGCATGACCCCTTGCATACCCCTCTCTCCTCCCCTCCTTGCTGAACACTACCACTTTTCCCAATTACAGCCCTCCCTTAATATAGGTTCTTTCTTTTCCTTTACCTCCTTCTATTCTTTCCATTTTCCTGACTCCTGATGTTACATCAGAATTTATATAAGTGGTGCTACAGTCCACAAATGAGGGAGAACATACGTCACTTTCTTGTCTGCTCCAACCACTACTCTCTAGCTCCAACCACTTACCTGCAAATTTCATAATCATCTTTTTTTTTTTAAATTCCTGAGTAGAACTCCGTTGTGTAGATGTACCACATTTTCATTATCCATTCGTTAGTTGAGGGACATTTAGGTTGGTTCTATTTCTTAGCTGTTGTGAAGAGAGCAGCAACTAACAGCAAGATGAATCCTTTGGGCATATGCCAAGGAGTGGTATCACTGGATCATAAAGTAGGCTCATTTTTAGTTTTTTGAGGGTTCTCCACACTGCTTTCCATGGTGGTTGCTTGAGTTTGCATTCCCACACTCAGTGAATGAGCATTCTTCTTTCTCCACAACCTCTCCAGCATTTGGAGTCTTTCGTTCCCTTGATCTTAGTCAGTCTGACTGGGATAAGATAGAATCTTGAAAGAATTAAACAAAGCAAAAATGTAACAGAAAAATATAAAAATATATGACTGATAATATATAAAATAAATCTAATTTTAGGGATTTTTTAAAACTAATATTTAATTTCTCATCTACATCAAATGTGTAACTGTTTCTTGATACTTTGGGAATCTCCCAGGTCAAAGATATGTAAATAATTAAGAGGAGTTGATGAGGAACTGCTAGTTGAGGAAAGAAGCAGTTCATAAAACAAAGGTAAAGTCAGTGGCATTGGATTATGTTTTCCAAAGTGCTTTCATATATAGTTTTGTGATTGGTAAATTACAAGAAAGCATTTCTCAATATCTATATAAGATTCAGAAACACTGAAAAGCCACATTTGTTTATTTTTAGATACTTTATTTTCTATTTTTCCTTACTTTGTACTCTTGCACATACATTACATAATAAGTTTATCTTACCTTCTATGCTACATAATACATAGCTCTGAATAACTGCAAGACATTTTTTGTGTGCATGTAATTTCCTTACAGAAATTACAGAAAATTTTGAAATTCCTTATTCCTTGTCTTGAGATATTTGGATACATGAAGAAGGATTTGAGAGTGGCCTGTTGCTAGGAGCTGCCAAGACACATGTTTAGTCTCACACGGATCAACTTTGGTCAGATAAGAGGTGGATGATAGGGACAATGAAAAGGAAGAAGAAAAACAGCTAATATTTCTTTGTCATGTTCCCCCCCCAATTGGCAACTCAGCCCTTTTTGTGTTTACAAAGTAAAGGAATATGAGTTGCCACCAGGAAATCTAGAGCTTTGGATTAAATGTTGTTTAACCATTGTTTTAATAGCATTAATGGCTAGCAGACAACATACCTCCTGTGTTACTGACAGAGAGAATAGCACGTGAGAGCTATAGGTGAAGTAAATGGAAAGGAAAGGGCAAAATGTTTCCAGAGCTGGTGGGACAGAGCTTATCAGGAGCACCATCTGCTCATGCCGTCTTGCAAAGTCCTCCAACTTTAGGCATCTTTCACTGCTGGTAGTGCAGGGCTTCCTTTAGACACAGACTTTCTATACAGTAACTCTGACTGATGTGGATTTTCTTTATTCATTCAAAATGAAGTTATGATTGGGATAGATGATAGGAAAAGGGTATTACTAAAAATTTCCAGAAAATGGGTACTGGTTTTCAACAAACTTTTCCTTCAAATTGAATCAGATTGAATCTTGGTGGGCACATGTGGCAGACCACTACCAAATCCAGGTTGAGATTTGTCTCATGGACTAATTCTCTTGTACAAAAAGGAATAGGAATCATAGGCTTTGACCTTCCATATGTAACTTCTCCCCCTAGATCTTCATCAGCACTTCTCCTCTCTCTCTCTCTCTCTCTCTCTCTCTCTCTCTCTCTCTCTCACCTTTGTCTTCTAAGACTCTAATCTGTAGTATGCGGTTTGCCAGACTCTTCATGCATCCGGAATAATCCTGTGCTTCTCTTGTTCTCCAGTCGCAGGTGTCAGGACAAAGACAAAGGGCAAATAGTCTAGAGAAGTCCAGTTAAATTATGAAAACACTATTTCTAAGCATGGACACTTACAATAGACAAAGTGCTCTGGTTTCATGATGAAGATACTTACCTTCTATTAACACAACTTTGATTCCATTACTTGTAAAACAATTTCAACATTATTTTACTATGGAATGTTTTACTGATTTCTATGCCACACTATAAAAACAAGTTGCCGTCTTATAACAAAAAGATCTACGAATCACTCTGTATAGGAACTATCAGCAGTATGATATGGAATTTGACTTTCAACTTTATTTCCCATGGGAAAGAACAAAAAGAATTTATGTCATTTCTCATGATGGTAATGGGATACTGCAGCTTTTTAAAATCATAGTCTAAACCCTGACTTAGTATCATCAAGTGGACTTTTCTCTGATAATTTGTGAGATTTCAAATTGTGTGCAAAATGACAGGAACTAATTGCATTAAAAATTTTGATGACTAGACATGATTGGTAATTTATATTAATTTTCTTTAAAATTTGTAATATGAGAGAGCACTGTGCTGTCTTTGAGGTTCCTGGTCTTCCAATTTGCCTCATATCCTTGGTAGTTTAACTTTATACTCTCTTCTCAGACATCAGGAGACAGAAGAAAAACAGTGCCAATCCAGAAACTTGAACTTGGCTAGTTTTCAGTG